GCAACTGGTTAATTCAAGGATTTTTGACATTTTATGCAAAGAGATGGAGGCAAACTTCACACAGTTGTTGTTACATGCAAAAGTTTGTTAGTCTTGTCAGCACTTTGCCCTTGGACATCCATGTGAACTGCGTGAGGAAGTCCGTATTCTTCTTGCCGATACCTCTCCACTTGTACAGCATTTCAGTGACATTCATGGGATATCCTTGTTGTCATATCTGGCTGATATATTTGAGTGACTGAATTCTCTGAATGTGGCACTTCAGGGACGAGATGCAAATGTTCTCATTGCTAATGATCGGATAGCAGCATTCATTAACAGACTTAAATTGTGGTCTTCACGTGTGCAGCAGGGATCTGTTTCCATGTTTTCAATGCTGGAGGACATTGTGCAACAATGCAGTGATCTGTCTGTTGACAGCATCCAGGACGTAAGTGTTCAGCATTTAGGAGGTCTGCAGGAGCAGTTTTCTGAATACTTTCCTGAAGTGGGCAAAGACCAATGTAATCAATGGACCAGGAACCCATCAGCTTTAAGCCGAATCCCACAGATATGCTGTCTTCAAAAGAAGAGGAAAGCCTTATTGTCCTGTCAAGTGACAAGGAACTGCAGCACAAATGTTCACAAATGCCAGATGCAGACTTCTGGTTATCGGTGGGATCTGAGTTTCGTGAGTTAACAAATGGGGCTTTTAAAGCCCTCGTTCCTTTTTCAGCCACCTAACTATGCGAGTCAGCATTAACCGCAATTCCAAGTATGGCTCCTGGCTTTCTATTGAAGATGACTTACGTCTTTTCCTTCCTACACGGCAACGCCAAATTCCATTACTTTGTATAGTGAGGAAACAAACACTCTCCTCCCACTGATAAGATAGGGCTGATGGATATTATACTGAATTAATACACCATTGTTTGGTGTCATGTTTCCGAAAATGTGTGTGAAGTTTCATTTTTGTTGCTTCCATTTGTACTATTTTTGAACTTAAAATTAATACTTCTGAAACTCGTACTGATCTATAATTGATCAAATCTTTACTTTTTTATTCATTTTTGGTGGTCACTTGTATCTGTAGCAATTGCACTGTTCTCTGTCTCTGAAGAGAAAGCAAACAGGTGTCCTAGGGCAGCTAGTCTGTGTTGGGAAAGGCAATTAACTAGGGAGCTGAATGCCCAGAGTGGCTGCCCTTATTGTGGGATCCAGCTGACCTGCCCTGAACCGAGACAGGCTCCTCTCCCAGGATTTGATTTTTCCAAGTCCATCGGCGAAGTTCAGCCAGTGTCCTTTCTCCCAAGTATTTAAAAAGCCTGAGTTAGGCCTTCCAACAGTCATGAGATTTAAAAACATAAACAGGTTCTTTCACTTTGCCTTCTGCTTTTGAGCCTGTGGGCTGCACTCAGGTCGTGTTGCCACACTTTTCTCCACAACAAGGAGGACTAGAAACTTCCTTTTTTTAATGGAAGCTGATGGTCTCACCTATTCACATGACTCGAGGAGCTGGGGCTTTAAGAAAACTACCAAAGATTGGAAGAGACATGAGAGCTGCAGCGCTGTGTGGGTCATGGTTTGTATGGGGCTAAGTGCTTTGGGCTACATTCACAAGGGGGACCTGGGCATTGCAATGCCAACTCCTAGTCACCCGGCCACCTTGTGGATTCCTCAGCCCCAGTAAGGCACCCCGCTCCCCATGCCATGCCTGGAGAAGCGGGGAGCCTAAGAAAGGGTTGCTCAGGTGCCAGCATGCTGAGCGGGGAGCCACTTGGGCCAGCCAGTGGGAAATGACAAGGAGCGGCAAAAGGAATTAGGTCTTTGCTCACAAAAAATGATGGAGGTGGTGCTGTGCCCAGACCACTCATCTGGGATGGGGGAGCTCTGGGTTCAAATCCCTGCCCCAGGTCAGGCAGATTTGAACCTGGGTCTCCTACACCCCAGGGAGTGCCCTACCACTGGGCTATTGGGTATTGGGAGAGGAAGGCTCTGAGTGTGCCTATTGGATTGGGCCCCGCGGACAGCTACATAGAGAATGTCTCGTTTGAGACTCCCAGGGCTAGGCATGAGCGAGGATGCCGAGCTGCTCAGTACTGTCATCAGGACATAGGCAGTTTTGCGCATGCTTGTTGGGAATGTAGGGAATATATGTGGCAGCTGAGCAGGGGTTTTGTGAATGCCAGTGGTGCCTGCATGTTGGATGTGGGCCCCTAAAGGGCAGCTAGGCATCAAAATCCCCTTGTGAATGTAGCCCTTTGGGGCAGGGGCTGGCTCTTATTATGTCTTTGTACAGCACCTAGCGCAATCAGGCTCTGATCGTGGTTGTAGCCTCCAGATTCTTCTGAAATACAAATGATACAGAGCCTGATCCTCTTCACCTGTGTAACTCTGTCAACTCCTGAATTACCCTGCTCAGAATCCGCTCCCTGCTGGGAACACACTTGTAAGGGTCAGAGTTAAGGTTTTAATTGCATTTTGAGTTAGACTTTGGTTGCGGTTTGAAGTTATTGGGGTATCTGATATATTCAGAGAGTAGAATAGATGGTGAAATGACTTAATCTCCTTTCCTTGCAGTGTTTGTCTTGTTTCAAAAATCCCTTGTATAGTGATAACTGAAAGCAAATGAGGTTTCCTGTCTGGGAATTAGAGCTGGCACATGACCTCTCTAGTTATGGTTGGCTAAATGTATCCATTTTGGAGGCCCTTGTTTAGTTGCTTATAACTTGGTCAAGTTTCATCTTTCAGGCTGGAATTTTCCAGCTCTGGTTTCTGTCTGAGGGCTTTTTTCTCTTTCAAATATGAGCAGAATTGTTTTTTTGAGAATTAAGAAAATGAAAAGTAGCCAACATTTTTGCCCGTATCAAACTCTCTTTCTCTGTCTGAACTGCTCTGGAAGCTCTGTGTTTGGAGTGGGACAGACATATGTGTTACAGAAGGCAGGGCTGGCTCTAGGTTTTTTGCTGCCCCAAGCAAAAAAATTTTTGGCTGCCCCCCCGTCCCAGCCCTGGGCTCCTCGCCGCCCCCCCCACCCGCACCCCCCTGCCGCCCAAACCCTGGGCTCTCACCCCCCCACCACCACCACCTGCACCCTCCTTCCGCCGCAGCCCTGGGTCACTGGTAACTCGCTCCCAGGGCAGGTCATTCAGCAGGAATTTTGGATGTGCACAGAACACAGACAGGATTGGTTCCCATATGGTTACGGAACTGCAGTAAAGTGGAACAATTTTCAGCTTGTGTGACTGGAGGATATCTGGATGCATATTATAAGACTGTCCTACATAAATGAGGAAAAGTTGATGTGACTTTATTATTCTTTTGTTCCACTCTTTCTTTCTATGGGGAATTTGCCAATGCAATATCACTGTCTTCCTTTTAAACAAACAAACAAGGCAATGGCTGTTGAAAATAGCAATTCCAGTCCTAATAACCACTGGGAAGCATTTCTTGCTCAATTTTATCCTACTTTTTCTACAGCAAGTTACAGTGGATCAGTATATTTGATTTGGGAGAAACGAAGTAACTGAGCTTTAGCACTCCTGAATTTTGAGGTGTTCAAATCTGGAAGGCAGGTGCTGGGGGGAGGGGCCTGTGGCTCCGCAGGGGAGCACGGCAGCATGTATGCAGCAGTGTGTCTGGCACTGCGCGAAGCCAGACACACTGGTCTGAGTGGCACGGTAAGGGGGCTGGGAGATTGGAGAAGGGGTAGGGGGTTC